GTCTCTTTGACAATGAAGTTGTGGCTGTGTCGGTCGAACTGTATAACCAGATGGGTGTTGGCTTTTGCACTTTCTGCCTTAATATACTTCATGCAGATTTTACTCCATAGTTGTCCAGATTGCAACACAGCATTCCACATTTCACCTCTTTTGGCAAACAACAAAGTCATCCTAAAATATGTTGATTTAACCAAAGCAGTTATTGAGAGGTTTTGTATGCCTTTGAATATTCAGTTCATGGATTCAATTAGATTTGTTGTCACGTGGCCCCATTTTTGTCCATTATCGTATGACCTACACTACAAGAAAATTAGTGTTTAACGACACAAAAATTGCGACAATTATGTGATAACTGTCGTAATTGACATATAGAGACAGTGTTTACGACAGTTGACACCAACCGTCCCTAATATTTATTTTGCGACGGTATATTTAACCATCATAATATTATTATTACGACGGTAAAACAACCGTCGGCCCCCATTTAACACTTTTAACATTGATTTTTCACCAACAACTAGTCACGACGGTAAAATTAACCGTCCTAAAAGGCATATCACGACGGTAAAGCACCCGTCGCACCCTTAAACCTTTCACGACGGTAAAATTATCCGTCCTAAAATTCATTTCACGACGGTAAAACAACCGTCGCACCCAAAACCTTTAAAAATTCTCATGGGCACGACGGTAAAACACCTCTCGCCGTAAAAAAGTTAAAAAGCTCATAAAACATCCATTCACTTTCTACTCCTGCATTTTGACTATCACTTATAATATAAATTGTATCACAGAGGTTCGATCTAAATTATAAAGAAGAAATGAGATCCATTGTAAGTCTCTAGTTGAAGCAACAAGAGCACGATACTCAGATTCAACAAATGGAAAAGCTAGAGTAGTTTGTTTCTTGGAGTTTCGTGAAATGATAGAATGATCAAGTCTATAATCACCTAAATAAAACAAGCACCAAATAAGATTTAAACAATTTTTTTTTGAGATTTATATAGATTTGATTTTATATCCATCATTAACACATTCAAATATAACATGAAATTAAAATTTAGATTTACAAATTATGAACCCTAAAATATATTATCCAATGTCTAGTACTAAAAAAGATCTTAGAACTAAAAGAAATTAAAATATTGAAAATTTATGAGTTCATTATTCTTCACTTTTATTTCTTTTCGAGATTAAAAATATTCCACAAAAATGCATTTGCACAAAGTTGAATGAAAAAATGATTCTCATTATAATAGAAATGAATTAATTATAATGATTTATAGTGCAAACTCAAACCCGTTCTTCAAATCGCTCATCTTCACACCAAAAAACGCACAGCAATGGAAACTACATCCTCTGCGTTCATCTCTTCAAACACAGTAAGTTTTATGTATCACTTTTTGCATTGTTCTCATCTCTCTCATTCTCTGCCATTGATTTCAGCATTGGAGATTCACTTGAATCTTATGGTTGAGCTCTTTGTGATGATTGATTTTGAGTTTGAATATATTGAATTGATGTTAGGTTTTCTAATTTGTTATTTTAGGGTTTTATTTCTTTTTATGATTTTTTAGGTTTTCTAATTTGTTGTTTTAGGCATAAAACTGATATAAGAGGACCATATACTGATCCAAATGGGATAGTAGTCGTTTTGCAATTGTAATAATAATATTGATATATCAGTCACTCCCCTTGTTAAGTTTCCTGGCTTTAGGACAGTATTTCGAAGGCACCAGGACCAGAATGAGGTTAAGAGGATTCCTAAAGAGGAGATGTTCTGATTCTCTCATCAGGCACCATTTTTTTATTACGACTTCCTGTTTTTAATAGAAAAACACTCGTGTTCTTCTGTGATTTACGTGGGGTCTCCGCTTGGCAACTTTCACTAAGTATGGGTTGGTGAATGGTAGAGATTACATTCCAGGTATAAAGTTGGTAGGAAATGGTCAGATACATATTTTTAGTTTGATCCTGAGTGGGAGGAGAGCTGCTCAAGAATTTCAATAGATTTAGTAGGTTATTTAGAATGACGGGGAACAGAGACCATGTCAATAGGAAGATGAGGTGGTAGGATTTTGTTGGCTAACGTTTTGAAAATATGTTAAATGTTTGGATGTGAAATTAGAACTCGAGAGAATGCTATTCATTCAAAAGAGATTACCATATGAACAGGATCATGTCAACATAAATGATTCTTCAACTTGTGATGTTATCCGGAACAAATTGGTGCCTCATAAGGTGTTATTACTTGCATGGATCATGTCAACATAAATGATTCTTCAACTTGTGATGTTATCTGGAACAAATTGGTGCCTCATAAGGTGTTCTTACTTGCATGGAGGCTATTTAATAATAAAGATTCGAATGTGGAATTACTCAATTGAAATCCAATTTGTGTGCCAAATTGTGATGATATTCAAACTTTTCAATATTAATTTTATAAGAATTTTAGTGCAACAGTTAAACATAGCTTTTCCTAATGATGCATTCTGTTTTATTCACGTGTATAAAAAGTTTATAGTTTGATGCATCTTAATATAACATACCTGTCTAGATTTTAACTCCCTTGCAACCCCTGCTGTTATTGCAGAGGTGAAATATTCCGCTGCTTCTTTGGCTGCTCAAAGTCTATTGCTAAGGTGAGAATTTCATTTTCAGTGTTTATAGTTAATGGCTAGTTAACTGTATTATACTCATGCTGGTTATTCTAAATCAATACAATTGATTTTGAAATGTTATTGTGTTCCCATTCACATTGGATCCTTTTCTGCTCTGGTACTTTCTTTACTCGAGTTTGTTATGGTTCCCAGCAGTTTAGATTAGGGGTTGGCATTTGTCATGATTAGTACTTGTCTTACTGCTCTGATAGTCATACCTGGATGCTCATGTGATTTTGTTGCTGACAATAATATTAAAATCTAGGAGATTTCTCAGTTTCATTTTGTAAAGCATGTATTTGCTACGTATTTGCTACTCAGGTGTAAATGTTGATGAATTATTGCTACGGGAAGTACACTATCTTCACCAAGTTATTTAAATAAGCATTATAGGCTGTGTAAATGTTTTTTTTACTTTCCGATGCATGTAGCTTTGTAACATCTAATGTATTTTGTCACCAATTGTGGAATCACCTAGTTTAATGCTTATTGAGTTAGATACTAATTTCTACAAGCTTATATCGTCAATCACCTAGTTTAATGCTTTATTGAGTATTTGAGTTAAATACTAGTTTCTATAAGCTCATATCATTCCAGTGTCTTATTAACAAGATGTCTCTACACAAAGGATTTTGTGCTCGCGTTCTCTTTTTGGTAACTCCATCCGTTTCAAATGAATTGTCATGTTAGAAGTCTTAGTTTCAGATTATGTAAGGCTTAGAAAGTCAAGAAAGCATTATTTTTGTCTTTTTTTTTTAACTTTCTTTTGGGATTTGCACTATTTGGAATTAGAGGCAGCCTTGACAAAGTTAAGGGCTTGGCCATAGCAAATGAAAATAGTGTCTGGGAATCAAAAAGGTGAATTGGGATTTGGGATTGTAGAGGGTGTGAGTTTCAACCTCTATCGGTGAAATCTGAACAAGGATTAAATGACTGGAGGAGTTTTGCTATACTCACTTGATTTGATTACTGAACTTGGATCCCCAATACTTAGTAGAGGGGGCTTGTAATTTTCTAACCATTCAAATTGAATTGAAAGGTGATACAATAATATGAAGTTATATTTCTCTAAAGTTGTAGATATTTGATAACTTTCTTAATCATTGTGCAGAGCTTTAAAAATGATCATTTTGAATGGAGGGAGTAGTTTTATTTATTTATTTCGGGCTTTCTCTAATATGAGGGTTGCACTATGTTATTATTAACAGAGATTGAAAATGTGTTACTGCATGTGCATGTATTTCATCTTAATCTCGAGCATCTATTTTCTAATAAATGGTTATGGTTTTGTAATTTTCTCTCAAGCATATTTATCACTTCATTTAGAGAAGCCAAACTTGGTTGCATGATAATCTGTGTTAAAAAAACTAATTTCAAGTCTAAATACAGGTTTCAATTTATTGTGATTTTCTTGTTTAGTTAATGAACTACTTTTCTTCTATTGCCAAAGAAGAACATGTACCTTAGAATATTGCTTTGAAGGGTCTAAATACAGGGTTTGTTATTTGAAATGTAAACTACAGAGTTACTCTGTTAATTGAACTGTAATGATTTAGACAGATTTTTCTTTCTTTGCAAATGTAGGACGGTCGAAACATGAGTTGCACCCCTTCATGCATCTGAAACATGAAGTGTCTTCCGCACTAGAATGAAAATAATAATTTTTTTGTTGGATTTAAAGGGATATGAGCTGTTGAAAAATATAAGATTTCTATTTGATAAATCTATGATTTCTACCAACTATTGATATGCTGCTTTGGTTTTTGTTGCATGTAACTTTTCTCTTCCACTTGCTTCGCTGCTCTTCAAACCCTCGTGCGTCTTTGAGGTATGATTTCATTCTTAAATTTGAGTGTGCCTTTACTATATCACTGTTTAATAGTGCTAGACTAAAGAATTTTATCTTATAAGAATTTTATCTTAAATTTGAGTGTGCCTTTACAAATACATTATTCTTATAAGCAATTGTAATAACCAAAATTGCAATGTTTGCAATCGCATTCATACGGGGCCGCAAAAGCACTTTAAAATCCTAGTACAAAGCAATATTAAGGTCGCACTCGCACACTGACACAACATAAGTAAATATTCTTGAAGTACCTAGCTAAATGTAGTAAACATATTGATATGAAGTATTTATCCATATATGTCTGTTACATGAAACTATATTATACTAATTGATATCACAAGGCTTCACCTATAAACTTGTTATGTAGTGTGTAAAAACAAATTAAACAACCAATAATAAAACTCATCTCTTTTATTTTTTTATTGTTTATATTCAAAATAACATGTTCTCGTAAGTACTAGAATTCTGAAAATATAATTATTTTTTTTGAAGAAATGGATAAGTCATTGATTATTAAGCCACAATCATCGATTGCGTATCAAAAAGGAATACAAGAATTTATTGATTTTGCATTCAAAGGTGCAAAAGAAAACGACGTAGTAATATGTCCTTGCAAACGTTGCGGTTTCAGAAAATTAAAGAGTAGGAGTGACATGTTCGACCACTTAAGTTGGTCACCATTTCCGCAGGGATACACCATGTGGATCCATCACGGAGAGTCTTTTGTACGATCTAGTACTATCTCCCCTAGTACTACTCCAAGTATGGTAGAAGATACTAACATTGTCGAAGAACCTATTCAGAACATGATCAACGATGCATTTGGAGTTTATGGGAATCATGCAAATGAAATACCATCTGCGTCAAATTTGGAGATTGAACAAGAAGATTATGTGATGCCAAGCTCAACTCAGGAAAGAAACGAAGCCAAGGAGTATTATGAGTTGGCTAGAGAAGGAGAACAACCTTTATATGAAGGGTGTAGACGATATTCAAGACTATCTTTTTTGGTTAAGTTGTACCATATAAAGTGTTTATGTGGATTGAGTGAGAAGGCAATGACAATGATTTTAGAGTTAATAAAAGATGCATTTGAATATGCAAACATTCCAAGTTCATTCTATGAAGCCAAGAAATCAATCACAAAACTTGGTTTGAATTATGTAAAGATACCCGCATGTCCAAACAGTTGTATGCTTTATTGGGGAGAAGATGAGGAGAGGGAGACTTGCAAAAATTGCAACACTTCAAAATGGAAAACAAATGAGGATGTCTCTGTTAACAAGAAAAAAAAGAAAATTCCTGCCAAGGTTCTTCGTTATTTTCCATTAAAACCTCGATTACAGAGATTATTTTTGTCATCAAAAACGGCAGAGGATATGAGATGGCATGCAACAGATACTAACAATGATGGAATGTTGAGGCATCCTAGAGATTCAGAAGCTTGGAAGAAATTTGACTTGACACATACTTGGTTTTCATCATATCCACGGAATGTGCGTCTTGCATTGGCTAGTGATGGTTTTAATCCTTTTGGTGTGATGAGTACAAACAATAGTATTTGGCCAGTTGTTCTCATACCATATAACACTCCTCCATGGGTTTGCATGAAGCAGACATCATTTATAATGTCAATGATAATTCCCGGTAAAGAGGCACCAGGAAATAATATTGATGTCTACTTACAACCATTAATCAAAGACCTGAAGGAGTTATGGACAAGTGGTGTGGATACATACGATTCTTTCAAGAAAGAGATGTTCAAGTTGCATGCAAATTTGATGTGGACTATTAGTGACTTTCCAGGGTTGGGTTCACTTTCTGGGTGGAACACATACACAGGACTTGCTTGCCCATCGTGTAACTTTCAAACTACACCTCTCCGTCTTAAAGCTAGTCGTAAATGGTGTTTTATGGGTCATCGTCGTTTCCTTGATCGGAGACACAGGTTTAGATTGAACAAGATCCGCTTTAATGGTGAACAAGAAATGCGGAGTCCACCGAGAACATTATCTGGACATGAAGTTTTTGAAAAGGTTAAAGATGTTGAAGTCATCTTTGGTAAAAAGGCAGTGAAAGAAAAATCAGTAAAAAGAACACGTGAGGAACAACCTATAGAAGGTGATAGTACACAATGTGATCCTACAAAAGGTCATCCTCAACAATGGAAAAAGAAAAGCATATTTTTTGAACTTCCGTATTGGAAAGATAATCTTCTACGCCATAATCTTGATCCGATGCATATTGAGAAAAATGTGTGCGATAATGTCCTATTTACTCTACTGAATGATAGGCAAAAGAGTAAAGACCATTATAAAGCTCGAGAAGACCTTCAAAATATGGGCAAAAGACCTGATCTTTGGCCTGATGAAAATGGTAAAATTTCTCCGGCTGCCTTTAGTTTAACAGGTAAAAATAAAAGGAATTTTTTAATGACTTTAAAGAATATTAGGGTGCCTGATGGTTATTCAAGCAACATTTCTAGATGCATTGACTTAGTAAATCTCAAGGTGAATGGAATGATGAAGAGTCATGATTGTCATATATTAATGGAACAACTTTTACCATTAGCCATTCGCACAACATTACCTCATGAGGTTTCAGCAGTATTGATTGAGTTGTGCTCATTCTTTAGACAATTATGTGCCAAGGTATTGAAAATTGAAGACATGGAAAAATTGCAAAACCAAATTGTCCTCACTTTATGCCATATGGAAATGTTATTTCCTTCCTCGTTCTTCACGGTTATGGTCCACTTGGTTGTTCACCTTGTTGAAGAAGTTAAACTTGGAGGTCCTGTTCATTATCGATGGATGTATCCTGTTGAAAGGTAAACTATGTGATTTTGTTCTAATGTTACTAACTTAATTAGAAAGTAGAAAGTTTTTTTAACTAGTGTTATTGTGGTTCAATGATAGGTACTTGGGAAAACTTAAATCGTATGTACGTAATAAGGCAAAACCAGAAGGGTCTATTGCAGAAGGATACCGTTTTGAAGAGATTCTTACATTTTGTTCAAGATATCTAGAAAATATTGAGACTAGATGGAATCAACCTGGACGTGTAGATGACGACCCTATTGATGATATCCAAACTGCTTCACGTGTAGCTGAATTATTTCCTAGAGTTGGAAAACCTGTGGGTGGATCTTCTTATTACACCCTAACACCAACTGAAAAATTGCAGGCTCATAGACACGTTTTAACAAACTGTCCAATAGTTGACGACTATCTAAAGTATGTAGTTTTATTACATTTAAGTAGTTTCATCTATACTATTAATATTTTTTTACATCTAATATCGAATAATCAAATAGGCAGTTCCGAAGTTTTACTCAAAACCAAATGAGGCGCAGTCAAAGAAGTGCTACTGAGATAGACAAGAAGGTTCATAAGGAGTTTGTGCATTGGTTCAGCAATCGTGTGAGTTTTCATACAAAAATAGATGTTTTATTGAATTGGTTTTTAATAATAACAAGACTAATTGAATGTTGTATCATGTATAAATTCGTAACAATCTTGACAACATTCATGGGCCAGATAAAGATGTTCTCATTAGTCTTGCTCATGGACCTTTTGATAAAGTTAAAAGATTTACCGCGTTCAATGTCAATGGATTCAAGTTTCGAACGTTGGAACGAGACAATCTTTTAAAAACTCAAAATAGTGGAGTTTTTGGCATGTTTGGGACACGAAGTTATTCAAGCAATAATGATACCCAAATGAGATTTGGAGGGGTCCCTTACTATGGAAGATTAATAGATATTATTGTGCTTTCCTATGATGGCTTCACAGTGCCCATGTTTAAATGTGAATGGGCTAATACCATAAACCCAAGAGGAATTAAGATAGATAAGTTGGGTTTTACCTCTATAAACTTTGCAAGACTACTACAGACTAGTGAACATGAAGATAATGAGCCATATATTCAAGCATCTGAAGCTCATATGGTTTTTTATGTAGATGATGAGAGTGAACAAGGATGGAGCATACCTGTTCATTTGAAGCCAAGAGACTTGTATGACATGGGTGGAAATGATGAAATTATGACACCCATTGAGCCATATCCATCACAAAATTTGGAACAAATCTTTTCAAATGATGATCTTGGAACTTCAGCGACAAATGATGACAATAGTTAACATATAGTTTTTTATTGATAAGAATCTAGTTTGTTTGTAACTTGTGTGAGACTTAATGTATGATATTCCATTGTTACTCTATGTTCTTTGTTGCTTATCCCTAATTAATATGTTAGATGACATTGTTACTCTATGTTTTTAATTTATTGTGTTTATGTTATGTTTATTAAATTTGTATTCACTAATATATAATTTTGATGTTTACTACTTTTAGTGTACTTAATACCTATACTTGCAGTTGAAGCCTTTTGTGAGACAATGACTACACCATATGAGAATAGTCGCCTCAAAAGAATTGCAGAGAATAAGAAAAAGTTAGCGGCTCTCAATCTTCCTACACTCTCTAAATCCCTTCACAAATCATCAGAGTCTTCTTCCAAACCATCACTGGCCAGTCATAAATTCTCTATACTACTCCATACAAATTAATTGTACTTATTATTTACTAATATTCACTAATGTATTTTATTTAGTCTGTGAAGGGCCGTTCAAGGTTTGTACAACCTGGAGAGCTTGAAGTAAATAAGAAGCGCCTACGTTCAATTACAACTCGCAAATCATCAATAACCCCTCCACCAATGGAAACTACAATAACCCCTCCACCAATGGAAACTACAATAACCCCTCCGTCAATCCAAATTGCAAAAGATGTTGTGGTAGAAGATGAGGATGAAGATGACATGGTAGGAGATGAGGCTGATGATGTTGTGGTAGGAGATGGGACTGGAGATGTTGTATTAGGAGATGAGGCTGAAGATGTTGTGGTAGGAGATGAGGCTGAAGATGTTGTGGTAGGAGATGGGACTGGAGATGTTGTGGTAGGAGATGAGGCTGAAGATGTTGTGGTAGGAGATGGGACTGGAGATGTTGTTAAAGTGGCTAAATCTGAGTATTGGGATGTAAATGTCATTAGTAAGTAATTTAAGGTTAAAGTATCTATAAATAATTTAAATTTTTTACATAGTTGAGTTATGAAATTAATTTGTTTACTTTTTTAATGTGATAGACGAGGAAGGTTATGTTTCAAACACACGTTTATGTGTGAAAGACTTAGTTGCGAAATCAGAGCCTGATGGAACATGGATAATACTTGAATTCAATAAGAATAATTGTGCAGTAGGACCGGCTTCTGGTTTGCTAGCAGGATATTTGGGTATAATTATTAGAATGTTTAGAGATATTCCCATAATGTTTGAGAGTTGGAAGAATGTTCCAGCAGATACAAAAACAAAGTTTTATGAATCAAAGATAAAGGTATTATTAATAAACAATTACATATTTTTTAAATTAACTTCATGGTGATTATTATTTCCTTTGTCAACTAATATATTTTTATGTTTAGCGCCATTTTCTTGTGGATGATGGGCGTGACAAAGATTTTGTACTTGCTTCTGCTGCAAGGAAATGGAAGGATGCTCGACATACATTGTTTCACGAATTTTATAGATGGGATCTCCCTTTGGAGGAAAATCTTCAAAATTATCCAAAATGCAGAGGCATTCCTGAAAATGACTGGGTTGTTTATGTTCAATATAGGCGGAAAGAAAAAACACAGGTAACATTAGTGTTTTTATTTGTTAGATTTCTCTGGTTTGTATGTTATCCCTATCTATAATGCATGTTTTTATTTGTTACAAATGTAGAAAATATCCCAAAAAAATTCCCAAAATAGAGCAAAATTGAAGGCTCCGCATACACTCGGATCTAAGTCGCTTGCAAGGAAGAAACATGAGTTGGTATGTCTAAATCTATATGTTGTTGATCGTTTGCTTGATAGTACAAACAATTTATATTAGTTTTTATTTGCAGGAAATGAGAGATGGACGAACATACAGCAGAGGAGAAATGTATGCAGTTTCTCATAAAAAGCCTAACGGGTCATTTATCAATGAAGATGCATACAAAAATAATGTAAGTACAAGTTAATTCTTTTGAAATACTGGAAAAAAACGGTAATAGTAATAGAACCATCCCAAATAAAACTCACCACTGGAATTTATATATATAATATGGAGAAAGAGCCCGATATATGCTTGGATTTCACTTGATGACATTGTATCATTGAACTAAATAAAAGCTTATAACTTATTTATGTTATTAACAATGAGATCATATATCATTGAACTCAAGTGAATACATATCAAAATAAGAGAAAGGATAAACGTCTGTTTTATTTCATCCACATATAAAAAGATTTCAAACACAATGTCATCAAGTGGGAACGTTTATCAGTAGGAACGTTTGGAACTTTAATATTAGTTTTTCATAAAATAATTAATATTTATTTGAATTTGATAATAAAATGTTATTAACTTACTTCCACATTTATCAGTAGGAACGTTTGGAACTTTACAAGCGTTTGCTACAAACAATGCTTTTTCCATGCTGATTGCATTTTCAATATCAGGAGTCACATTCTTACAGTAACATGAGACATTAATGCCTTCCAATGACGCACAACAAGCTTCTAAATCTGCTAATGGTGGATAGCAAGCTTTACTGTTATATTATTCTTGTTATATAAACAATAGCTCAATTTTTTCTTTTTCATGTGCAGAAAAAATTACAAGCTGCAATTAAGGATTCTGTGTCTGAAAATGAGGCATTTCAGAAAGTATTTGGAAAAGAAAAGCATGGATATGTTCGTAGTATGGGACTTGGAGTTACACCATCTCAAATTAATAGATCTACGAGATCGACATCTTCTTCTGCAGAAAGTGAACAAATAAAGGAAATGCAAGAAGAAATTAATGCACTTAAAGAAAAGAATTCAAAAATTGATGAATTAACACAGGCAATCATATTCTTAACGCAAAGGGACAAGGCGAGGACAAAGGAAATTGAACTCTTAATGCAAATGCAGAATTTTAGTGGAAGACAGGTATATTATTTTGACGCATTTAAAGTTAAATTTTATGAGTATTATTTTAAAGATTATTATTTTAATACCTTTTTTTAGGGATTGGAATCACCCGCTGATGGTAGACGTTCATCTGAGTCTAGCTACCGTATTGGAGATAATGGAACTTTAGGGGGGACAAATTAGACTTTGCTATGATCGAGATAATTAGATTGTGAACTTTCTCATGTATTTTTGGCATAATGATACTTATTATTATAAGATTAGGAATTGATATATTTTGGGTTTTTTGTACTACTTGACATGATTATGGAACTCGCATTTTACATGATTATGGAACACACATTTTTTTGGATATTATAATGCTTATTTGATGTTAAATATTTTTTATTGAAATTATTTTTACTATATTACAAAGTGATAGAAAATAAAACAAAAAATAATACTATAAATAAATATATTAAAGAAGAAATAATCTAAAGAAAAAAATAACACAAAAAAAAACTATATTTAAAATTTTTTACATAGATAATAATTTAAATAAAAAATATATATAATAGAAAAATAAAAAAAAATCAAGACATAAACAAAAGTCATGGCGACAGTACCGAACCGTCGTAATCAACAATTAAAAATAATCAACAAAAGTCATGACGGTATCGAACCGTCGCCATAAACAATTTAATCAATTTCAAAAGATATTCACGACAGTATCGAACCGTCGCCATCAATAATTAAAAGAAACTCAAAAGATAGTCACGACGGTATCAACCCGTCGTAAACTAGAACGACAGTTTTTATAACCGTCGCGAAATAGGTTGGGGACACACACTTCTGCGACGGTAAAGCAACCGTCGTGGAAAGCAAATTGCGACGGTTTTAACCGTCGTAATCTACAAAAATACCTGTCGCAATCTGCCAATTTTCTTGTAGTGCTAGTCTATTTTTCTATCGGAATGTTATCGATCCACCTAACAATGTCCGAATTTGACAAACGGATCTTGCTGTGATAATATTTGAACGTAGGTTGTGTCAATGCATATCTCGTATTCATAACCGCTTTCCTAAGAGCTTTGTCTTTGATCTCCCTCGTGAAATTTTGGACGATATGTCTAATGCAATAAACATGCGTAAAAGGAGGGTCATGCCAACTGTTTGCAGGATTATTGTATAAACTTTCAATATATGCATGTCTATCAGAGATCAAACAGAGATCTGGTTGAGGAGCCACGTGTGTTCGGAGATTCTTGAGAAAAAAGCTCCAAGCACCACTAGTCTCTCCCTCGACTAGGGCAAAGGCAATTGGAAAAATGTTGTTGTTGCCATCTTGTGCAACTGCCATCAGTAGCATGCCTTTCTATTTCCCATACAACTAAGTCCCATCAATTTATATAATTGGTTTGCATGACACAAACCCTATGATGCAAGGTTGAAAAGCCCAAAACACTCGACTGAATATTCCATTTCCGATGAGTTGACTACCATTTGGGGCGTACGCTGGCAGTGTTTCCAGAATGTAAACAGTACCCGGAGAATAAGTCTGAAGTGCATTCAGGTAGCGAGGAAGTTCTTGGTATGACTCCTCCCAATTTCCATATACCTTTTCAATCGCCTTGGTCTTTGCTAACACGACTTTCGGTAAGACGAAGTATAGTTAAATATCGTAGTGATGTGGGAGATTATGGTTTTCACCTTCAATGATGGATTGTTGCTGATGAGGGGTAGGATTTCTTGACATATGAGATCATAATTTAGTTTCCGATGATCCTGTGATTGAGTAGAACTGACACGCGTGTGGGTGGACATAGAACCTATGACCCAACAATCACCTATTAATCTGTATGATGCAGTGAGCTTGAACATACAATCCGGGTGGATACACTTAATCTTGTACCTTTCTTGATTTACACAGTCCATCTTAAAATCGACCGAGTTGAGCATGTGAAATTTTTTTATGGCTCGGATACATTCTTCTCTATTACGAAATTTGTCTTTCTTTTAAGTTTTCATCCGACTACATATACAGATTAAAAAATAAATTGGATGACGGTTCATCTCTGCCCATGTTGAAGTTTGTCATGTGCAGAGGTGGTGTATAGATCTTGTTTGAAGGTATACCAAGTATCCCATCGTCTTCGGA